TTCCGGGTGTTAAGATTATTGAAATACCTGATTATTATCAACATGCTACTTGGAAAGGTTTCACTTCTGCCTGTAACATATTTGTCAATGCCATCGTAACTGATCAATACATCTACATGCCAACATTTAATGGTCCTCATGATACATCGATGTTCGATTTAATTCAATCTCATACAATCAAGAAAGTAATAGCTGTACCAGCTGAGAAAGTTTCTTTCATGGGTGGCAGTGTTCGTTGTCTTAGTTGGCAAGTAAAAGGAGAATTGAAGAAAAAGATTTTAAATTTGACTTGACGCGAACAATGAAGGCACCATAGACTAGATAGTCTGTGTTCATTTCATTTGGAATATTCTTCATATGTTTCTTATAAGTGAAACATAGGTGTAAGAAAAGATCAAATAAAAACATCTGAATCTATACAGAAAATGATGAGCACGTGAGGCAATGATGATATGCAAAATCTACTATCTAGAATAATGAACGATCACATTTAGATTCAAGTGTTCATAAAAAGATATTTTCGCATGATGACATCCATTTCTGACTACAATGAAACAAAGTAAGCTTAAAACTACTGATAGAATTCGAAACTAAGTCAAATGAGGTTTCTTGAAATGTTTCAATAAGACTTGACACTATTTTCAAAGTACATGAACATACCGGCTTCCAGTGATGTAGAGAAACATGTACTCCTATAATACTACATGATGACCTAGAGCATACTTATCTAGCATGAAAATAGCTCTCGTTTGACTCAAAAACTTCGAATGAGTGATAATGTTACAATGGACTCTCGTATTCAATTGGCAATATCAATCGACAATGAAACCGTTCCAGAGATGATGTCTCCTTTGTTAAAGATATTCTTATGATGCATTCTATATGAAGAAAGCTTTATGGAAAAGAGTAGGGAGTAAATATAATTCAATGAATGTCGATCAATTCTTTGAGTTATTTTGTAAAAAACAAATTCCAACTAAAACTCATTAAAATATCGAAGTTCAATAGCTATAATCAAAGTGTAAAATTCAACTATCCTGCAATACGATCAAAAATAAAATAGATTGAAATATAATTCTTTTGCAGAGTAGAATCACATCGTAATCGAGAAAAATGATTATCACTATTAGCTATGCTTATAATCTGCAGAGAAACTTGATTCTAATCGACTTTATTGTTCATTTTATTACTACTTGTCATTCAAATCCACGAAAATGAATCGTACACTGATTATAATTAACCAAGAACTTACTTTAATTAAATACAATGTTTAATTTTGTGACGTCGTGCATTAGTGGATAATCTTGAAGGTGTCGGTTTTTATAATAATCAATGCTCTAACAGTAAGTGCAACTCCTATTGACATGCTTTTTCTCATTCAGTTATCAATCCATGATTATTATATATACTCAATTCAGTGCTTTCCGTCAAGTCTAAATCGATTGTTAAAAAGCAAGAGTTAAGACTATTAGATGGAACTTGTTGTTTTCATCAAGAAATAGGTCAGTCTGTTTTTTCGCTTGATCCTATTATTTCTCCTATGAATATTATACAGACCAAACATTGTGCATCAGTGTCGTATTATACTGCTGACGATTGTCTCTCAATGAAAAAACTTTTTGTCTTCATGTGAGGACAGCCGTCATCTGTCTCATCGAACAACACTCTTAAATACAATAACAGCCAACTCGATCCTCTATGCCAGTTCTATCATCGACTATTGTTCAGCAGTGGAATTATCTACTGACAAATGAAATAAAAGAAAAGCAATCGCATCTGTGATTTGAAACAATCAACTCAGAATTCTCGATACGAGATCAATCGACAATGTATCAACTCACGATTTGAGATCATCAAGTGAAGTAAGTACTTCACGGGTAAACCTCAATACTTCAACTTTAACTAATCGAACATTGCTGAACAATCGCATTTGTGATCTTTTGAAACATCACGAATGCGAAATATGAACACCAGATTGGTTTTTCATCGAACGTCATATGAGCTTCGACTCTAAAATTGATCACTTTGACTTTGTTTTTTAGATTTATAACGCACGAATAGTCACCAGTGTTCTGTCAAACAACGACTACGATCATCCACGCATCAACGATGAGGAAGAAGACAGCAGTTTGTCGACCGCTCATTTTGCTTCCGTCCAACTCTGAAAATGCTCTTTATTACGCAAGCAAAAATAAGAGATTTGAAGAGTGAACAACATTGATCGAAATTTTAAGAACAAAGAGAGACATCAACAAAGAATATTGTGTAGAATTAAGGTATTAATATGTGCACTAATAATAGTGAGAAAATGTTTAATGTACGATAATGGATTTATCGATATGTAATTCTGAGATCATAAATATATTTGAATAGTTGTTTTGTGAATTTTTTCGCGAACTCATTCACATTCAAAAGAAAGTTTCACAGAATTGTAATTTTTTTCTTTTTGTTTACATTAATGAAGGTGATCAGATGTGTTTATGGACTATTTTGATAAAGAAGCCGGTATTATAATGTCTGTACGTATTATGTTGAGTAATCAATCAGTACCTTTGATACATAGGAAAAAAAAACAATTATTATTCTTATTCAGGTATTCATTTATAGAGAAATTGAGAATAATTAGTAATATTTCGTATAAGTGACAAAAAGATGATTGTAGTCAGAGTGTTTGATTGTTTTTTTTTATTAGTAAGACTTTGTTTCAATAGAAGATATAGTATAATACATATGTCATTTATTGTCTATTGATGTGCTGTGTATACATATGATTTTGTTTAAAAAATGAGAACATCATCATTTGTAATGATGTGAAATACTTTAATAAAGAAATTCGCTATATTGCAATAATCAATATGTATAATTTTGTTTAAAAATATCAGAATCGAATTGATATTCAATATTATATTATCACCTATCAGATTAATTATAATTAAAAAGATAAATAGGGTTTTGAAGATATATTTGACAATAAAAACTAAAATGTTTCTAAATTAACAAAATCTCAAGTATCATAGATGAATTTGAATAAGATTGCCACTTATAATGTTATAGATATATTGGAAGTAGTTAAATTGTATGGTGTGTGTATTTTAAAGATAAAAGTACTGATAGCGTATTATATTGATTTGTTTGAGTATTGATTTAAATAAACTATTTATTACTATTATTGTTATGAAACCATCATTTAACAAATCTAAAAAAGAGAGTTTAACTTTTTTTTTTCTTATCATAGTTAATAATTCAGCATCTATCTGTAACTGTTTTCATTCATGAGAAATACCATTATAGTTATTTAGACTTCATGCATTTCGAGAGTTTTCGTATTATTTATCGTCATATCATAAAAATAATAATGTTACTATTTGATACAAAAGAAAATGGATTCGTTCTTACAAACTAAACAACGTTCTATTTAGTATTTTGTATTAAAGAGGTAATAAGAATTTGATTAGATCGAAAATGATTTAAAAAACAAAACTTTTGGTACTATGTCAGTAATGTTGATCACTATTAATAAACAAATCTTTTATTGTGTAAATATTTGATTGTTTCACTTCACTTGTTTTACGTTTTAAAGTATGTTTTGTTGCATAAAAAAAAACAACTTGTACTAAATCATCTGTTCGCTTAATTTGAACGTATGAGTTTCATATTTCAGCCACTAAGCGGCAGTGCCAACAAAGTTTTCTTTTTTTTGTCATTCCATTTTTCTACTCGTTTTCTTTTCTCTTATTTACCCATTTCACATTCGACTGTAATTACACCATATTTTTTCACGAGAGAAATAGTTAGAGGTAAGGTTATCTCTCGTTACGACACACTTGGTTGTATCTGACTTTTTTTCTGCTCTTCGTATTTTTCTTTTTCAGCCCCTCGTTGATTTCTTTTTTTTTCGTTCTCTCTTATATTTATGTCCTCGGCTTTTCTAACTGTATATTTATCATTTAGATGGTGATATTTTGATGTGGTTTACTTTGAAGTAAACATTTTATTTTATTGCATCTATTGGCGTTTACGAGAACATGACAAAAGAGAGAAAAGAAAAAGAAAAAGGACAAATGATGCAACAGCAGTAATGAAAAACAAAAGGAAAATATGTTCAAGAGAAAATCACATTCAGATTTGTTTCTTTCACACAAAATGAACGAAAATGAATCTCTGAAATATCATACATAAATGATATTAAGGTCAAAATAAAAAATAATGTTGTTAAAAAAAGCTGAGAAGAAACTCGCGCGTCAATATAGTCTATTTTCTTATTAGGAATGATTTTTGATGAACTGACATCACAGGATTACAAGTGACTTATGTCTGTCAATCAATTTTTTGTCACTCTCGATAACCTAAAGAAATGTTCTAAAATTTAACTGTTGTTGAATATTATTTCTTTATTTTATTAATTATTTTTATTCATAAACGCATCCCAGTCGTTTGCTACAGTTAACTACAACATTCTTGATGGTGCATTTTGTCTTGTTAATCTTGTAGACAAATAAACATTACAGACTAGAGCTAAAATGTATACACAGGTTCACAAATACTGTCATCATTCATCAACATTATGCATAATTACTTTTTGTCAGACTTTGACCTGTCGGAGAAAATAAAATGTACCCACATTCCAGGTATTTCATGCAGGTAATATTAAAGTACTTTTTCATGACATACTCCGAGCAATTTAACGTAAGATGGATACCCTGCATTTTATTCTATCAAATAGAAAAACAAGAAAAAATTGTCAATTAAGTTGTATAAAAAGTGTTTACTCCTGACAAGAATATCGTGCATGATGTTTTCGCCATGTATAAACACCTACGACTACTCTCATAGCGTGATTCTGATTCATCGTCTTTTTAATAAAACGCTAAATTATATTTCAACGCCCCAATGAAAGGCATTACTTTTTTTTTCTTCTTTGGCCTCGAAAGTACAATCAGCTAATTATATATAAGAAGAGAAACTAGTTACTGCATCTCGTTTCGAATTTCGTCTCAAACATGATTCTCTTTATTTTTGCAATTCTGTTTCACTTTGGAATTCAATCCATTGGAAGTACAGCAAGCAATTCCATATTGGACTGCAATGCAGTGGCTGCCCATTTTAACAATACTTGTAGTGGAGTGGCCGTTAGCAGCATTACTGCTACTACGGGTACCAATGTGTCATGTAGCTCAGGCTTCACTAGTACAACATGTCCCGGTACAATGTACGGCACTACATGTGTATTTCAACACAAGCTATGTGTCACTTGCTCTGGCAGTACAACTATTCGTATTCGTGTTCAGTCGAATGGGTTGCCACGTTTTTGTCCTAATGTACCTGCAAAAATGAGTGAATTGAATGTTGATTTTGAAGTGAATTTCAATCCTGATGTAAACATCAATTCTCCTACACACAATCCAACAACTGAATCACAGCTGAACTCAATCGTGTGCAATATCAGTAATCAAGCATCTGTGCCATCTGCATCTAATTACGTATCTAAGAGCAGTTCTGATTCTTTCAACACACTTGCTGGTATCAGCGTTGATGGTGTCACAATTTTAAACGTAAACAGTGCTAATAACGTTGATCCATTTTATCCAGCTGGAAACTTTACACCAGAGTCAGTCGATGCATGTTTAGGACATCCAAATCCATCAAACAATGGCTATCATTATCATATTGCATCAGGTTGTGCACTGAATCCGCCCACTGGAAAGATTGCGTCCTGTAAGAATACTCCCGCTTGTAATGCCAGTGTTGCTAACTACACAATATCAACATTTTCGTCGTATCGTACTTTGACTGTGATTGGAATAGCCAAAGATGGACATGTTATTTATGGACCCTACAACTCAAACGGCCAAGAAGTAAGAATAGAACTGATCTAGATATGCACTTTCATAAATTTAAAGGTCTCCTTGAGCTCCACAGAAACAATATATAATCGATTCATATCTATATTGAGTTTCCTTGTGAATAGAAGCTCGCGCAGAAAACTCGTAGAAATCTCTTTTAATTACCTTGTGAAATTTCTTGTATTAGAAAGATCGTCGATATTATGTCTTATAGTGAAATTGGGATATCATAATTGTGAAGTTATGTACACTTTAAATCGAGTTGAAGAGGGTAACAGTCGATTTAGTATCAGGTCGAAATCTGTGGAAAGTAAATTGAAACCCGCCAATTGATATTTTGAGAGTTGTTAGGTAGATGAGGCTAAAGATTTGTGGACACGAGTATGACCATAGCTATAGGTTCAAAATAGTAATGTTTGTATACGCAATTAAATATCATTGTTTATCTAGAAAAAATCGAGACAAAAAAGGTAAAACCTTGAAAAAATTTAAACTAAATTTATCCTACCGTATATATGACATGGATACTTTGCTATTGTTAAAATAAAATGTATACATCAGTTGTGAAATCAGAAACAATGTACTTTAGTAGTAACTCGTAGCACTGTTATGCCAACTATTTTTAATAGGACAATGAAGGTATTCTGTATTTTATAGGTAACAAGTGGTTTCGATATATGCAATGGTATGTTTTATGATTCTATTGGGAATTATGCCTATTTTGCTACGCGAACATATCCGTATATAACGGGTTGTTTTGGTCCTGGTAATTATCCAAGTGTCCTTCCAAGTTGTACAACGAATAAACCTAAGGCATATACAAAATCAAGTTATGCTCTTAAATAAACTATATAAACAACGGCTGCAATAGGCATAGTACAATCGAATAGTCAAAGGGTGTCTTTAGATCACATACTGATTGTTCTGTAGACTATTGTTGGCATGTTTTTCAAAAACTGATCTTTCATATAATAATGAATTGAACAGAGTGAATTCTGTATATCTCTTATGTTACATAATATTTATCGTATTTCTTTTCCTTCATTTTTCTCACTATTATTATTTACTTTTCTTCCTTTTATTCATCATTAAAAGACAACATATTTTTAAAAATAAAATATTATATTACTAGTGCAGAGTTTCATATCATAAAAAAGTTTCTCATTTCTTTCCATCCATGATTTTAGTCGTTGGAAAAATTGGTTTTACACGTGCATCGATCAGTTCTTCAGTACCGTATAGAAGAGCAGATTCATAACCATAAGTGACATGCTAGAGTACTTGATCCAGTCTCATGAATTTGTTTATTGCAATTTTAATGAACGCATTTCCTGTTATATATATTCAACATATAATTATTTAACTAATACATAATCAATATTTTGGTTATTTTGAATTTTCTCCGTACATAATTAGCGATGTCTAAAATTTTCTGCTAGGTCAGGGCCAATAGTGTAACTGTAAATCGTTTCTCACCTCTATAAGATTGACTAAGTAATACTTGATTACTTTAATCAAAAGAAGTGAAGTTCAAATAACCAACAGTTAATGGATGAAACGTAATAGCTGATCTTCTTTGCTATTTTTTTTTATTAACTACGTAAGGAAAAAAATATTAGATATTCCTTAATTGTTTGTACTTTTTAACAAAATTTAAAATTAAAATTTCTGAAACAAAATTTACCTTTTATTTCATAATGACAGATAATATTAACTAGCTGCTAGTATTAAATTCTTAAACAATCTAAAAACGAACATCTCCATGTTTCCAGCTGATTGTTACACCTATGATTTTTTTTCAACAAAAGAGCAATTGTTTAAATTTCAGGCAATGTTTCTTATGAGTATCAAAAGAACAACGTAATAGTTAGTGAACTGTAGACAAAGATAGAAAAGACTGGAGTTTTTTCCAAGTTTTTTTTAAATAGATATTTTTTCAATAAAAAGTATTACACTAATTTAAAGTTTATAATGCACTGTCAAGTGATTTAATGCGTCAACTGCTACGCATTATGCCATTGAGATTCGTTTAAAACTTTTATTGTTTCCCCTAAAAAGTTGAGTTTGCGTCACTCTTGTTCGGAATCTATTGAGATATGATCATTGTAAAAAAAAAAGTGTAATCACTAAAGTGGATGAATAATTTTGATTGAATGTCGATTCCGTTTTTTCTTACACTGAAAACACAACAGGATGTAGTGTGAGTAGAGATATGAAAAGTATCCATTTTTTTAATATTTTCATCCAATAGACAATAGAATCATGTGCATATCATACGTGCCATAGGTTTTATTATGAAGTATATTGTATCAGAATATATGTTCTCATCAATAAATGAACATTGAAACACAGTTAATCTTCAAAATCAACTCACTTGTTTTTACAACATATAGTGACGTATGATTGAAACACTGCTGCCCATTATGCTGAAATAAGTTCTAGTTGTACTTACTTTTTCTATGAATACATTATAACATGATGTGTCAAGTAGAAAGAATGTTAACTGGATTTCAAGAAGAAGAAAAAAAAAAGCTCACATAATACATCAAGAGAAAAAAAATAATCTGGCAAGATTAGAAGCAAGAATATCAATTTATGATCATTTAGGCACACAAATAAAAACAAAGTCATCTCATTTTGCGTCAACGTTGTGATGATATTTGTTCGTATAATATTCGCACATGTGAACGTTGGAATAGTTTTTCAATGAAAATACTAGATGCACTACAAATACAAACTATCCACATGCAAAAACGATTGTCTAAATACAATATTAATCTTCACCATTATTACTATATCTGTTGTAAACGAAAAATGATCGAATCAAATATATTTCGAATAATTCAAGTAGCAAAATTATGCAAAATGCATCTATTTCAAATAAAATAGCTGAATCTTTTTCTCCAATTTGGATAGAGAATTGAAGTTATACATATATAGAGAAAAAATTATTAGCAATGATATGGTATATTTTACAGAGAAACTTATTGATCACGTCTTCTAAGATTCTCATTCGTTCTAGAATTCGCTATCAGATAAATACTCCTTCGAAAATAAATAATTCTTACATCCTTAAAGTTTATTACAAGACAATCTATCGGACAAAGTATAATAATAAGATAAATATTTGACTAATTAGAGTGAAATTTATAGGAGTGATTACTAACTATGTCCTCTACAAGCATTCAAATTTTGACGTCCAACTATGTCTTTGTTCTAATGAAGGCAAAATGACTCAAAGATATGCCTCTGCCACTAAACAGAATATATGACATGATTGCCTAAACCATATGAACTTTCAAGAATGTCTTTTTCTGTGTTCTATTTGAAAATAGCAACACTTTTTAGTATGATCTTAGTAATTTTATTAAGCCAAGAGATGATGGTCTCTTATTCTTATAATAATGTATTCTTTTAAAAATTGTTTTAATTTATTCGTTATTGTTATATCGATGTTTCATCACCTGTTGTAGATATTAATGGAACGGCTGGTTGAATACTTCGTTTTGGATGAAAGATTGACCAGGTGCAATGAGCACAAACAATAGGTGCTATTTGAAAAACATAGAACCATGCTTCATGGCTGTTGAGCTTGTCATAATAATCCGGTATTGACTGAATCAGGTTAAAACTAGCAGCAAGTACACAGAGCACACTGGAGATTGTGATCAGAATAAAGGCTCGTCTAGTCATATCCTTCATCGTTTTACTACAATACCATACGAGATAGAAGAAAAGAGTCACTGCGAGTAAGACTAATGCGGATAGTTTTCGAAAAAGAAAACTTGCATTCCTGCGATCAGGATTGAATGATAACATATTGGCCGGTGCCAACAGAATACCGGACGTGATAACACATAGAACGGTACCTGCAAGAATAGCACGCGAACGAATAGATTTTTCACGATGAATTTCCCTAATAAAAAGATAATTGCTAACAATAAGCATCCGTTGACTTGTAGCAAAAAGAATATTAGCAACAAGAAAGATATTTTTCGTATTGTGTTGAGCTGCAGGAGTGACAGAATGAACGATCAATTCAGTGAAAATACACAGGTTTGAAATCAGAAGAATAATACTTAGACGAGGTGGTCGAAACCGAACTTGCCACGATTGAATAAACCAAGTGATGAGTGAAATGCTGACGATTACAGCAAAACAACCTGCGACAACTTTATTTGGCACATATGTTGGATAAGGATACGCCAATGAATCATGCATAGTATTAATTTTTGTTATGAAATACCGTAAAAAGAGGCTAACTAAATTGTTTCAATCTGCGCTGATACAATAAACCAATTTCTCTACTTTGAAGATTGCGTTCTAAACAAAGTCTTACGAACCAAATAAATGTGACATATGATGTTGTTGTTGTTGTTTTTAAATTCTTTTTTCTTTCTTTTATTTGCTTCAATATAGCCAGGTAACTTATACCAAAACTCAGTATTATCAGTTAAGGTGCATTATTATCAGTGATATGGTCACAGTAAAAACGAACAAAACATATGTAATAATGAATAAACATGACAAAAAAGTCTTGTTGTATCCATTGCGTGTTATCAATCAGTTACAGTAAAAATTGAGACACATTTGTTTTCCAATGACCAGATTACCTCCACTTTTCAATTCTTTTTATGTTTATATTTCATCAAATGATTAAGAAGAAATAATTAGTTGATTACCAGTCTATTTCCTTTGGTTTTACAAATATTTTACAGCAAAGAAACAAAAAATGAATGTGAAACCATCACTACATAGTATATCGAATGTTTTTCTTTATTGTATTATTAATTACTTCACTATACATAGCTTTGTTCGATTATAACAATAAGATATGAAAAGATATGAAAAGTAGCAAGACAGTTGAATTTTAACTTCATGATAAATGCCACTTAAAAGTTTGCTTTCATCTCTTTTACTTTGTTGTATTTCGGGATTTCATCTTCTATCTTCAGCTCTCTCCAGAACCCATGTTTGATTGAGATACTTGTCCGTTTAATTCTCATTGTCTGTTACACGTTTTTTTCATATATTTCAGTTGACGGCAGACACAATTCAAAGAGCTATAGATCACATGCGAAAAAATTAATGAAGCATCAAAGAATATATAAAGACGTTTCTAGTTTAAGAAATATTTCTTAAGAACAACTACATCATAATAATTGGTGTATTATTCTTCAACTATTCTTAGTGAAGCATTATGTATCAACTCATAGAAGGAAAAAACAGAATGTCTTTAATAATAAAAGTACCATGGGTCATTATAGAACAACCTCATATTAAATTTATTCTCAAATGAATGAATATAATTTTTGCGCTAGAAAACAATCGAAATACCTAGTAAAAAGAATAAATTGATACCAACTTTCATTAAAAACACGTCGATTCTTGTTCAGAGTGATACTACAACTGAAAATGTTCATGTGTAATATAGCATTGTCGAAATAAAGCAACAAAATTTTCTGAATACAGTTTGGTGAATTGGAGAAATGTAGAAATATTCTAGGATTAGTATAAGTTATCAAAAATGTATGAGACAAATATAGTTTAAATGATTTAGCACAATTATATTTTACATGAAATAGAGATACTAATTTTTTAAAATCATTAAAAATTTATCTTTTGAAGGCTGATTTGCCTCTGTCCCAGTTTTAATAATATTCAGAAATATTTGTTTCTTCAATTGAAATTAGAAGTTACGACAATCACATACAAATTATACCCGAATGATAATCAATATCAACAAGCGCAATCGTCTATCTCTATTCAATGCCATAATTTCTTTAAATTGATTCTTTCATTCTAAAGAAACAATATAAAATGCAGAAATATTTTATGATGACAAT